TAAAAACAATATTTTGTTTCACAATGGACAAATTATAATATAACTAAAATCACTTTTATAATTTCACATTTAAATTAAAGCTGCTAAGGCTTAAGTTTTGAAGATGATTATAAATGTTTGGATTCAAATTAAACTGAGGGAAAATTAAATGAGAGATGGCAGTGTAAATACCAGACCTGGTGCAAATCTTGTACAGAGTTTATAATTACAGCACAGCAAAAAGAATGGTGTATTTTTATAATCTAAATGTAATCCTTTGATTCCATTATAAATAAATGGTTAACACTTTATTATAACTTTGAACAGCCTTAAAAGTGCCTTGGACAAAGATTTTTCAATGAACAGTGTACAAAGCTTTTTTTTAAGAATGAGTCCGACTTGGAGCTGCTTGATAAACCTTAAACTAAACCCTTTACTGAACCTGAATCATTTTAAAGGTGCACTGTGTAACTTTTCTGGTGGAGAATTCAGAACCTGCTTCTCTGTGTGATGCTAACTGTAAGCACTGCTCTATCTGAGCACGATCTGACCAGAAATAACTGACAGATGAGCTGATTTGTGCAGTTTACAGGTCTGTCACATGACAACTACAGTCACAAGCTAGTTTTATGTGACATTAGCCAACAGTTTTTCAGTTAGTCACTTTTGTTGAAAGTCAAACTCCTAAACAGGACCATGAACGCTTGTATTAACCACAGGCTCCTGAAAATGTGCTGTTTAAATACATGTTGTATTTGAGTTTTCAGATGATCTTAAAGCTTATTTGGCAGTGTTTGCTAACTGGTGAACATTTCACCAATACACATACATGTAGCACACCTCCAGCGACACCCAGGTAGAGGTCCCTCGAGGGAATCCTCTTGCCCAGAGCGGCCGTCCCTTGCCTGCTGAGTTGAATCCCCAGACTGCGAAGACCCCACCCATTTACCTCTTAATGGTTTCACGTCCTCTTGAACTCTCTTCAAAGTTCTTTTCAACTTTCTCTTACGGTGCTTGTCAACTATTGGTCTCATGCCGATATTTAGCCTTAGATGGGGTTTACCACCAAAAAGTTAGCAAAGTTACGGTAGAGTATCTAAGAGTACCTATGTAAAGTAAGGTATTACTTTTAAAAGAAGTAACGAGTAATGAGCAAACACTACTTTTTAGTAACTTCCCCAACACTAATGCATAAGGCATATTAAGATTATGTGCATTACCTGTAAATGTAAATTAATAGGAATTGCCTCTCCTGCCTGGATATACCGTAGCTTGCCTCACTTGTATAGAGGATTGGAAATTGAAATATCAGTTGCTGACAAAAGTGAAAAGATTGAAGAAAGAAGTGAATCATTTGGCATGCACTGGGCAGCTCCTGTGCATCCAGTAGCCCCATTTGAATAAAAATACGAGAGCACTGAGGGGCCATATTGGATTTCCTGTCTCAATTATGTGACAGTTTGGTCTGTTTGGCTCTTACAGCGCCACAGGGGACAGGGACCTAATGCTGTGAGATCTGCAGCATGGAGCCAGAGTCAACACAACCTCTGCAAAAACACTCAGAGCATTAACTTATCCTTGTATTTGCATTTACAGACAAAGGGACAGTAGTAATAGTATTTAAAGTTGTAAGGATATTACTGTAAAAATGTGCATAGTTGTCACAGAAATAGAAGCCCTAGTATTAAAGGGGATTTAGACTTTGACTTAGACAAACTTAATTGATCCACAAGGGAAATTATTTGGACTTATCGTGTAAAATAAGCTTGTATGAGCTTCTAATAATTTTATAAGTGTTCTCTCATCACTCAACCACATATTCAAAGTTTGAGTAAACTTTTATTGCTCTGTATTCACGCCTTGACTGCTTAGAAAATTCTGGTTTACACCTACCCCCTATCCCCACCCACAGCTCTATACCTACTTATTTAAAAAAAATTCTGACAGTGGGTCATACATACAAAGTAAAAAAATAAAATAAAAAACATAATAATTTTTCAACAAAGAAAGCACATACATATAAAAATGCTGCTTGTTATGGAAAAATGCCACTGCTTGAGAAATGTTTAATGCCATACTAGGGAACATTCAAGACAAAGCAATAACATTTCTGTGACAAGTGGTGAATTCACCCGAAAGTTAACTTACATAGTTCATCTTTAAGTTATATGTCGAAAACATATGTCCCAAATAAACATACTAGTGATCACTGTAGTGGGTAAGTAGTAGTAGTAGTTGTTGTTGTAGTTGTAGTAATTGTTGTTGTAGTTGTAGTAGTAGTAGTTGTTGTAGTAGTTGTAGTTGTTGTAGTAATAGTTGTTGTAGTAGTTGTAGTTGTTGTAGTAATAGTTGTAGTAGTTGTTGTTGTAGCAGTTGTAGTAGTTGTTGTAGGTGTAGTTGTAGTAGTTGTTGTAGTTGTATTTGTTGTAGTAGTAGTAATTGTAGTAGTAGTTGTTGTTGTGGTAATAGTTGTAGTAGTTGTTGTTGTAGCAGTTGTAGCAGTTGTAGTAGTTGTTGTAGGTGTAGTTGTAGTAATTGTTGTAGTAGTAGTAGTTGAAGTAGTAGTAGTAGTAGTTGTTGTTGTAGTTGTAATAGTTGTAGTAGTTGTTGTTGTAGCAGTTGTAGTAGTTGTTGTAGCAGTTGTAGTAGTTGTTGTAGGTGTAGTTGTAGTAGTTGTAGTAGTAGTTATAGTAGTTGTAGCTGTAGTAGTAATAGTTGTAGCTGTAGTTATAGTTGTTGAAGTAGTAGCTGTAGTAGTTGTAGTACTAATTGTAGTAGTAATAGTTGTTGTTGTAGGTGTAGTAGTTGTTGTAGTAGTTGTAGTAGTTGTAGTTGCTAAAGGGCCCATGTTACACTTATGTTTACTGACGTATGTTATAATGTTGTTTCCTGATCACAAACAGACCTGGACTTGTGTTTTTGTTTCATTCACACATGTTTAACACACACTTCTTTCAAACAGAAAACAGTCTGTTCCACCTTGTGATGTCATGCAGTAGTACAGGAACTGCTCCACATATACACTAGAATCATAGCGAATTTCAATTTTCTCTATTCAACAAAAGATAAAAAGGAGATGTTAACTTATAAACTACAGCTTCATGACATCACAAGGTGGAACAGAGCATTTTGAGCTTTGGAGATTCAGACAACCAATAAAGGATTAACCAAACATATGTGAATGAAACAAAACACAATCCTCACAAGAGTTAATTTTGCGTAATATAGGACCATGAAAACAAAAACACATTAGTAGTAGACAATAGTATCACTGGGACAGATTTTCAGAACAGCCGGATCACATTAACTCCTACTTCTTCAGCATTAGGAGGAAAATGGTGAAAAGTTGGTCTGAAAGTGAGATTATAGCAGTTGGATTTCTTACTGGAGTTGCAAAGTCTGTGAGCGATGTGGTGTCTTTGATTAAGATTGTTTTGAAAAGTGGGTAGTTACCAAAAGAGAATAGCACATTTGACAAGAACAGTGGTCTCTTGGTGGTCTTACGGGCCTTGATTAAACCCAGTATCAAAGCACTTCTGTCTCTGCTAGTGAGCCAATGCGTCATTTAACTTTGTATCTTAATCTGCAAATGTGCTTGGTTCATCAGCAGGTGGGAATTTTGTACTTTTAAACTGTCTAATGGTCCCTAAAATTATCAAATTATCAAAACTACATTAGAATAAAAGGTATAAAATGTATTGTCTGCAGTAGTTGGCAGATCGACAAAAAAGTAACCATGGTAACCACATTTTATATGTATTGATATATTGTGGAAATAGTACTTTAATAGTTATAGTAATTGTAGTTATCATAAAAGTTATCTGTTAAATACCAAGGTTTTATTGATATAGTGCTTTTATTTTATTTTATTTTTTTCAACTTTGGCAAAGAGTTAAGAAAATGTAACTGTATGACTCTGTATATTTATATATTTTTTTAATGCGTAAATATCTTATAATACAGAGTGTCCTTTATTACAAATGCATTATTGAAATTTGGAATACGGGGTAGGAAAATACATGTTTTTAAAAATTCTACCTACTCCTCTTGAGCACCTCAGCCAGGGGAGTGGACGGGGTGGACAAAGGGGGCCCAGAATTGGACCCGCTTCCTATTAATTTATTTTAGAGAGGGACCTATGTGAGGTTTCTTGCTGCCAAATTTCTGTCGATGGGCCTGTACTTACTGTAATGTATGGAAAATGATGCTCAAATAAATAAAAATATACTAAAAGAAGAATAAATAACAACTTGTATAAGAAACAGTAGCGCTGGTCTGTTTAAATATGCATAGCTTTTCGTGAGATTATGGATTAAATTGCTAAAAAAAAAAAATATGTATAGGCACTAGGGTGTGATATAATGAAAGTAATTAGACTTATGGATTAGTTGAATATTGCTCATTAATCACGGAAAACTGGGGCAGGGTCTGTAAGTGTATGATCTTGACTGAGTTTATATTCATTTTTAATCTAAAAGTGTTGCTGGCATGAAATAACCATGGATTTAACTATAAGTGCTCAAAATATTGCAAAAGTATCGATATCGTGTTACTGACTGACACAAAAATCAATTTCCCAACACAGTCAGTGGATTACAATAACACTGACAAAAATGCTCTGCTTTTTCTAGAATATGTTAAATAAAGTTGATTTTATGAATGATTTTCCATATTATGTCTAAAATTTGCCTTTATTTAGTTCTGGTTTTGTCTCTGTTAAATTTTATTTTGAGTTTCACAAAATTAAAACATGTAATTTATTTATGCACATATATTTTTTTTATATATATATGAAATTACTGAGTCAAAAAGTATATTATAATATCTCAGTAATATTAATATTGCAGTTCCTTACAGCCAGATCACATTACCCTACTATATGAAACAAACCAACTCTTTAACTAACTAATTTCCCCTTTTCACCTTACCTCTTCTCACCTCCTCCCATTCCCCCCTCTCTCTCCTCTTCTACCCTCCCTCGCTCTCTCCATCCCATTTGCCCCCTGTCGTTTCTCCTATAGCCAAATTATCTGCGGTGGAGGGGAGCAGCTGTATGTGCCGAACTCCCTGTAACATGACGCGCTACAACAAAGAGCTGTCCATGGTCAAAATCCCCAGCAAGACCTCAGCACGCTACCTGCAGAAGAAGTTCAACAAGTCTGAGAAATACATCACGTGAGTCACATTTTCCAAGTTTAACATCTAACTGTACTGTCCAAACCCTGCTGCATCTGTACGTGTCACTGGCTCACTCGCCGGCCAATCAGACAACCAAACAAACACAAATCACCTCAATCATCTTATTGACATAGGCAGTTTATTTTTTTCTAATCTATTGTGTAATGAGGCAAAGGAAATATAAAAGGTTAATTAAAAAAACAGATGTTAAGCAATATAGTGCAGAAAGGCTTGAATCAGTATTTATTTTATTGTAACAGATGGACTGAGTTAAAGAGATTAAATGCAATGGGTCTAATCAGGCCTAATTCAGGGCCACTAAACTTGATGTGATAATAACTGGGCTTCTGTTTTGTATTACACAATCAGTATTCTATTCAAACAATAAATCTGTTTGAGGAGAGTAACACCCCTCAGGACAAAAGACTCAGATCCAAAGCATTATGAATAGAAACTATTATTTTGTCTTTGCTAGTGGTTTTATAACTACAATTCTTTGGGTTATTACATTCTTTTTTTTTTTTACTTTACACACAGAGAATCCGCTCAGAATGATTGAGCTTTCCAAATACCATGGATTTGGAGGAAAATCAGGTTAAATGTTAGATCCAAAAAGGTTTGTTCTTTTGACTTAAATTAAACAATAAAAGGTTCTATATACTTACTGTACTCTTATTTAACAGGTATAATAATCTACCACCATTTTAGGTATTCTTCTATACCTGTGGTAATTGCTAGAAACAAACCTTCAAATTTAAAAGCACTTTTGATTTGATTACCACTAAAATAGCTCTTACTTTACACTAAGACACTCACCAAACGAATAATTATTAAGGTAAATGAAACTAATTAATCTGTGCATTTCTTAATGGTGCATCTGAAAGAAAACACTGTTCTATGTTATTGTCTTTTACAGCTCTCTAAGCCACGTTTAATGAGCTTTTTAATTAAACTATTAACAGTCCCTGTTGTCAGAATATATGCTGACATTTTTGTGACTTTAACAGTGTGCTAAAGAAAGCAAATAGGTTTTCAAAGGGCTTGTCGTTTCTAATTAAGTTTTGTGAAGTTGTGAAATGGAGCTTTAATTATTAAGCTGAACATAAGAACGTTATTTTTGTGTCACTGCATAAAATGTTTTACACTCTTTTCTCAGTGAAACGAGAGAGACCCTTTTCTATAAAGGCGAATATTTCATGCATTTAATCTTCCCACTTCAAATGAACTATAACAAATGTAAAAAAAAATATTTATATATATACCAGTATCATTATTAGGAAGTTGTAATAAAAAGTAGGTCTAGAATAGAAGTAGATGTTGAAGTAGTACTGATAAGAAGTAGTAGCAGTAGTAGTATTAAGTAGCACTAGTAAGTAGTAGTACTTGTCAGTAGTTGCTGCAGTACTAGTAGCAGTAGTAAATGGTAAGTAGCAGTAATGTTATAAAGGAGGAAGTAGTAGTAGTAGTCCTACTAGTGGTAGTGATAGCTGTAGTAGTAAATAGTGATAAACAGTAAACAGTGTAAGTAGTATTAGTAGTAGAGCAGTGGTTGTAGTAATAGTAGCAGTAATAAATATTACAAACTAAGCAGCAGCAATAGAAGCAGTATAGAATCAAAATGATAGAAAAATAATTTGAATAATTAGGAATAAAAATACTAAATAGAAACTCTGAATAATAACAAGAAAAAAAAAATCAAATTAATAACAGTAGTTGTGGTAATAGTAGTAGTTTGAGTAGTTGGAGCATTACCAGTAGCAGTAGTATAGTGAGTAGAAGTAATGTAAGTATATTGAAGTAAGTAGCCAAGGTCATAGTAGTACTAGTAGTGAGTAGTAGTGATAGTTGTAAATAGTGGTAAGTATAAGTAGTACTAGTAGTGTAGTAGTTGTTGTAGTAATAGTAACAGTAGCAAGTATTATGAACTAAGTAGCAGCAGTAGTGTCAGTATCAGAAAAAAGTTCCCATTCTCACTGAACCAAAACCACAAACTAAAAACTTGAATAATTGTGAAGAAAAGTTGCAAATATAAACAACAAATAATAAGAATTAAAAATAAAATAAATAACAGTAGTAATAGTAATAGTACTAGTAGTAGTTTCAGAACTTGTTGCAGTTCTAATAGCAGTGGTAAGTAGTGAGTAGCAGTAGTAGAAGTAGTACTTGTGCTAAGAGTAGTGATAAGTACAAATAGTGGCAAATAGTAAACAGTGGTAGGTGTAAATAGTAATAGTAAGAAGTACCACAGTAGTTGAGTAGTAAGAGTTGCAGTAATAAGTATTACAAACTCAGTAGTAGCAGTATTAGAAAAAAAAGTTTTGTTGCCATTGTCACCGAAACAAATCTGCAAACTATATGTATATGTGTATGTGTATGTATAGTGAGAATACTGAAGTAAGTAGCAGTAGTAGTAGTAGTAGTAGCAGCAGTAGTAGTAGTAGTAAATAGAGGTAAATGGTAAACAGTGGTAGATGTAAGTAGTAGTAGTAAGCAGCAGAAAAAAGTTTTGTTGCCATTGTCAATGAACCAAATCCACAAACCAGAAACTTAAATAATTATGAATAAAAATCCCAAATATAAACTCTGAATAATAAGAATAACAATAAAACAGCCGTAGTAGCAGCAGTAGTATAGAAGCCTGTTGTAAAACTCTTGTATTTGTGCTCCAGACTGCGGTGAAACTCGTGAACGCCTCATTGTCTTAGCTGTTGCCGGTCCTCCCACACACGCCTGTGACAGACTGTGCCTCATTTTAGCGTCTGCCAAATGAACAGAGCGCAGTCCCTTTCATTATGTGTCATTTCTCTTCCTCAGAGACAACATCCTGGTGCTGGACGTGTTCTTCGAGGCTTTAAACTACGAGACCATCGAGCAGAAGAAGGCCTACGAAGTGGCAGGGCTGCTCGGTGTGTGTACTAACTCATACCACTCGGCTGTCTCATTCTGTTTGCGGCTCATTTATATTTAGACTAGACTTTGACTATTGATGCTTTGCAGTGGCATCGCACTGGGGGTGTTCTATATGCGTGGCTATTGGTGGGTTTTTCAGCGGTTACCATGGTGACACAGTGCACACATGAGCCACATTAGTCAGAAAAGTTTTTAAATAGTCTGAAAACTCAACTACAAAATGATTTAAACAAGGCATTTTCAGGAGGCTGTGATCAAAGCGAGTGTTCCCGGTCCTTTGTATTGTATTTGATTTTCAACTAAAAAAGTGAGCGTGACTAACAGAAAAACTGTTGGCTAATGCTAGATAGCCTGTGACTGTAATTTTATGTGTGAGAAACTCGTTTAACAGCACAAATCTGTTGTAGTTCCAATACGGTGACCAGATTTTCACAATTAAAAACTGGGACACATCTGGGTTGGGATGGTTGGTATAAATAAAACTGTGAGAAGAGCATTATCCATTCTGGACTCTTGGGGACTGTTGTTGCATTTATGGTCATTTTCAGGCATGGATTCTATATTTTAGCTAAACAAATGACAATACTTTTCCCTCTTTGCTGTTGGTAGAGATCAAATTGGTCAGAAATGGGAACAACTGGGACATTTTTGGTATAAAACTGAGACAAATCACTGGTTTTGTATAAGTCTGCTGGGACAGGGGACACGGGCTCAAAACTGGGACTGTCCTGGGTAAATAGTCTGGTCTGGTCACTTTAAGTTCCAACCAAGTTGGCTCTTTCTGATCAGTCTGTGATAAAGTAAAGCTCAGATTACATCTAACTTGAGTAACAGAGCTTCAGATAGAGTAGTGCTTTCAGTTAGCTTTACACCCCCAGGAATGTGGATGGTATCAGCTGCAAAGTATCAATAGCACATGACTTGAATGACCATGAAATTTCACCTGCTTGTCACCATGGAGATTTTATTGTTTACCTGGAATGTTCCACAGTATGGCATATTCTCTTATCTATATATAGCATTTATTCAACTTCAGCTGTTTTATTGCTAAGAAATTAGTAATACGGCCCTCCACAAAACTGACCCAGTAATGTCAACTGCTTGTCTCCATGGAGATAGATATTTATTGTGCCTCAACATTAGCATTTAGACATCTCTTTAAACACAGAAGTGTCCTCCACTGAGGTATTTTTCATTTTATTTGTGTACTTTTTAGCATGCTGTTAGTGACATTCACCTGCAGTTCCCAGTTCACTGTCTTATTTTTAAATATTTATTCATTTTAGCACGAGTCAGCAAAAACCACAGGGATAAAACTGGACAGGAAGTAGTGACGCTAACAGTGAGGTTGCCAGGCACAGAGCCTATTCTCCAGACCATCTATAACACTGTCCCAAGTGACTCAGCATGAGGTGACAGGCTTGTTAAAAATGTTTGCCCACTTGCTTTCTGTCCTTGTGAGAGACAATTCCTTTATAATATATATTTAAACACACACATAAGATCAAACTGCAGTCTGAAAATGTATAATGGAGACAAAATTGCTTAGGTGACTTTTATGTGACACTCTATTATTATAATGTAGCCTCCACATTCTAGATTGCTGCTGTATATGAAACCTTATACAGGAGATAGTTACCCAGCGCCAACAAGACTTTTACTGAGTTCAACCTTAAGTTAAAGGTGCACTATGTAACTTTTTTATTGGGCTTGTTTCTATGGATATGTCATTGCTCAGCCTGGAATGTTCCACAGTATGACATTAAACTGCTCTGCCTAACATTTATGAAATTACAGGTGTTTTTATAGCTCAAAAACACCAAGAACAACAGGCTGACTGTGAGCGGAGTTGCTTCTCCACAGGATCTGATCTGTAACTTGGTTTGGTTTGGTCTCCATGAAGTTAGAAAGGTTTAATACCTCAACTGTGAAAACTGTGAAACCTTCCAGACAAAGCAATAACATCTCCACTGAGAAAATTGTTTGACGGACCCTCCACCAGAAAAGTTAGACAATGCACCTTTAAGTCCTAGCTTGTTTTCTTGCCTTAAAAGTTTGACAAAAACACAGCAGTTGGAAGGCCATTGTGTCCTGCTGAGCCTCTTTCTGCTCTCTCCAGTCTTCTGCAGAGACACTCTGACCAGTGGGGGACTCATAGTATTGAGCTGCTGGGAGTCAGCGGTCAGTAATGACTCAAATAAATCATCGACTTAGCCTCAGTCCACAGTCAGGGTCAGATCTGGACAAGGCTCTGGAGATCTCAGATAAAAAACTGTTTTTCAGCAAGTCTGCATTACATAACAGAATATTATCTCTACTAACAGGTAGAAGTAAAACCAATAGTGCTCATGCCTCACAGCAAGAAAGTAAAGGGTTCAATTCCCAGATCACCCAGGCTTTTCCGTGCATGTTTCTCCCTGTGTCTGGGTTTCCTCATTTTCTCCTGGGCACTCTGTTTTCCACATACAACCCAAAGCAAAGTAAAATCCTCCAGCTAAGATAGTCCTGACCAAGACTAGCTCAAGATCTGGAGATGGGTCCCCTGGCGCAGCACTGTAACAACCACTGTTCCTGACACGGCTGCTCCAAATGCAGAGGACAAAAGAGTGCACCTTAACCTATAATATTTACCTTTAGTTGATTCTAAAAACCTATGTCCAATTGTGTATTAGGAACTTCAATACATCAGAGTTTGCTAAATATTCAAAGGTGCACTAAGAGGGGTCTGCCACCTGCTCGTCTCCATGGAGATGTAAGGGCATTACACTTATGCATTTATTCAATTACAGGTGAAAAACATATAGATTACATCTCCAGAGATCTGACCTGTAACTGGCCCTGGTGGCATGACTTTTCATTTTGAAAAGTTGAATGCCATGCTTTGGAACATTCTAGGCAAAGCAATAACATCTCCATGCAGAGAAGAAGTTATAGTGTACATTTTATCAGCAGGGAAAACATTTAGATGGAAAAATAGTTTTGCGCCTTAATATTTATTGTGTGTGGGTTTTTTTTCTTTTTACTAGCGGGGAACTTTTGATATTTTTCTGTACTTCTATAAAGTATGAGCTGAAGAGTGTTGAATAAATATCTTCTATGACTTTATGACATTTTATCACTCGAAAACACTGTGCAAATCCTTGGTTATACAAGTGAATGACTACAGGATTTAAAAAGTGGTTTTATTTTTAGACATTTCACCTTTAATTCAAGAGGCTGACTTAACACTGACTGATTCAACACTGATTATGAGTGAACCGTGTGCTCACTAGAGGGAGTTGGACCTGAAACCTTCTTAATGCTTAAAGTGAGCGGCTAGAAGAGTTTTATCGTCATATAGATTGATAACACTTGTCTAAGTTACCATCAACCAAATGCACCAGCCCAGAGCCTTTATTGTTTATTGTTTATTTTGATCCCCATTAGTATCTACTGCGCACTGCGTCAGCTACTTTTCCTGGGGGCCTTGATAGGATATATATATTGGGAACAGCATCCAACACTGAAATCTATGCCAGGTACAGAACTAACTTTGGCTTCTCAAAAAGAAAAAGTCTAAAATCCATTTATAGATGTGGTGTACCTTCTACTCCGCCTGTCAGTACGATCCTATAAAATACATCTCACTAAACACAACCTTCCACACCTGAGATGATCACATATATACATTTATAGAGTGATAACAGCGCCATGGCAACAAGATAGAAGGAGTGCAGAGGTGAAGTCAGTGCAGACTGAATACTGGAGCTAATATTAAAATGTTACAGTATTACTTTTTGACCTTCAGTACAGTCCAACAACTTTGCAGCCATATCCCAAAGAAATAGACAGAATAGTTGACTCTACATTTAGCCATAAAGCATGAAGCAAGAAAGACTTAAAAAAATAGAGTTTATTACCTCCGCCAAGGAGGTTATGTTTTTTCCGGCGTTTGTCTGTTTGTTTGTTTGTTTGTTTGTTTGTTTGTTTGTTTGTTTGTCTGTTAGCAACATAACTCAAAAAGTTATGGACCAATTTTGATGAAATTTTCAGGATTTGCTGGAAATGTGAAAAGGAAGAACTGATTTCATTTTGGGGGTGATCCGGAAGAAATCCTGGATTCTGGATCACTTTGAAATTTTAGTTAACATTGTGGTAAATGGGGCCAAAAATTTGGTTTCTCAGTATCTTAATTAATTATTGACCAAACCCCATGAAATTTGACTCAGGGATGGACAATGGGATCCTCTTTCATATTCCAAAGGCTGATCCGGATCTGATCCAGAAGACTGATTTTATCGCAATTTATATAAAAAATGGGGGTAGTCCTTGGCGGAGGTCTGCGCTCTCTGAGTGCTTTTCTAGTTAAGAATGATTTATTAAGTACTTAATCTAATCCTAATTAAAGCCACAGTATGTAATGTTTTAGCCAAAAATAGTCTAACATTAAAGTTTGTGTGTGTGTGTTGATAGCACTGAAAAACTGTCCTTTCTGTGAGCGGGCTTGTATCACCACAAAATCACCACTCTTATTTGTTTCCATGGAAATGCTGTTCCTTTGGCTATAATATTCTAGCCAGGCTGGTGCTACCTAGTGCCTCCTCTCAATTTCATTTCTCTCCACGACTAGGTCAGGAATCAGAATATAATAGACAGTTCGCAAAAACCCCAGAAGTACAAGTTCGGGCACCAGCCAATCAGTGAAGAGCCATATACTCAGTGTCAGCGATTCCCGAGATCATGGATTTAAAGCCAGAATAAAGAGAATGTTTGGTGAATTTCATCAAGGGGAAAGACGTTATTGTCCTTCTTCCTACGGATTTGGGAAAAGCTTAATATACCAGTTAGCTCCATCAGCGGCGCATTATATATGTCATAACCAAATAGCAGCGATTGGTTAAATGATAAAAAGTGCTCGTCTTTTGTCGAGTGAATGAATTCCAACACTGTTTCTACGAAGTGAAACGAAATGAAACCGGCTGATGAACCAGGCTAATAATATTCCACATTATGGCATAAAACTTTTTGTATTTCTTAATCTTTATTAAGGACATCACAATCGTATTAGACAAGCCAGATGGATTTTTTATTGGAAACATACAATCATTTTAATTTACTTTTAAATTTGTTGTTATTATGTTGTTATTTTAAAGCCCTTTTAGCGGAGAAATAGGACTAACCGAGAGATTGTCCTGTACACAGGAACAACGCAATTACCACTAGGAGCTCTGAGTGTCCATTTGATGGTCCTGGCAAATTCTGAATACAGTGTTGTATCACAGTTAAGACACTTAAAATTAAATTTAAGAATTTGCTAAGTTAAAAAGGTTATGTTTCTTTAAAATGTCACTGTGGTGCCAGTGTCTGTGCTTTTTGTCAAGGACCTTAAGGGTTACTTTGTATAATGCGACCATGAGGTGATACAGTAATATAGATGTGAGACGATCACTGCATTCATGAATAGTTATGAAGTCTATCTATTTCCATGGAGAATATTCTTGATGTGATGGCGTTCTACCTCCATACAATCCTGCAGGTGATGTGCTACCTCCAGAAAGTGTCAAACTGAACCTTTAAAATTGTAGCCTGAAAAAATCATTCTTAATAAACCATTCACCATGTTCACTGTCAATTAAATCTTTATTTATACTTTACGACAATGTATGATGGGTTTTACATTTATTACCTGCTACAATTAACTCAGTGTTTTGTAGTTTTGTAGGACATGTTCAGTTTCCCACATTTCTCTCTCTGATGTTTCACTGTTGTCCTGGTCAAATGTGTGTAGTATAACTGTTTTGTTGTTTCTGTCTGAATCTGCAGGTGACATCGGCGGTCAGATGGGGTTATTTATTGGCGCGAGTATCCTCACCATTCTGGAGCTGTTCGACTACGCTTATGAGGTCAGTGAAAATGATTTAAACAGCACATTTTCAGGAGTCTGTGATCAATACGAGCGTTCACGGCCCTGTTTAGGAGTTTGATTTTCAACAAATAGGTGAGAAAAAGTGTTGGCTAATTCTATCGAGCTTGTGACTGTAATTTTATGTGTGAAAGACTGCACAAATTAGTAGTTTCCAATAGATAAGTCTTTTCTTTAGCATCACACCCCCAGGGAATGTTAAAGACTTCAGCTGCAAAGTATCTATTACCTTTAACCTTCAACTTATAAAACTCACTATATATAAACTTCTAGATAGATGATAAGGATACTTCTTTGAGCTGGCTGAGTTGAAAGACTTAACTGCTTATAATAATGCTTTCAGAATTACCTTTATAGCGCTAAATGCTACCGTCAGGACTGATCCAGGCTGCTTTAATCTCCAAACTTCTGACAGGCACATAAAGGTCTGAGCTCCTGTGGCTCGGCAAATAACACAGAAAGTGCCATAGGTATAAAAGATCTGCCTTTACTTAAACTTTTTATGAATACCTGCCTGCCTTCTATTGATACTTACATTTTGCAGCTGATGCCATCAACACTCCCTGGGGGTGTGAAGCTAACTGAAAGCACTACTCTGTTAGAAGCTCTGTTAGGGTTATTCAATTCAGACTTAAAAGGTCCATATTACGCTATTTTCTGATCTATGTTGTAATGTTTTCTCGTCTTAAACATACCTGGAGTTTTGTTTGGTTTCATTCACAAATGCTGGTAATGAAGGAAGTGCTACATTGTGTTTTACACCTTCACCTTCATCTTTTGGATAACTTCAGCCCTAGAATTGACAATCTCTACTGAACTAAAGGTAAAACCAGAGGCGGCGCTACCATTAGGCAACAGTAGGCGGTCATCTAGGGCCCTCGAACCCAGAGGGGCCCCCAACCAATTGCCCTCAGTGCCACTAATGGCCGAGGCCTCAGAGCAATTAGATTTTTTCTCAGTATGACATTAAATGAGAATAGTTTACTTTTTAACAAGAAAACACCATGAAAATAGTATTGATTTTCAAATCTATTTTTACTGGCAAAGCATTCTCCCCTTTTCACATTAGAATGGACGAGTCAGCTTGACCCTGATTTGAACATAATCATAGCATAATCATAATCATATGTAATGGATGTAAATAAAAATGTTGTACTAGCAAAAAAATACAACGACTTTAAGCTCTGGTTATCCCAGTAGGCTAAGTTTCCAATCCACCATAATTCAAATAAAGATGTGCGTGTCTCATGAACAATGGGGAAAAGCAGACAATGAATAGTAAAAAAATATACAAAAATACATAAAAGAAAAAACCCAACAAAACAGTGCATTATAGTGAGGGTCCCAAATTCAAGTTCACCTAGGGCCCCCAAATCGCAAACTTTTTATACCATTGGGTAAAAAGGAGTTGTTTATTTATTTATTTATTTAATGAGACAGGAACAGCTCACATTTTTACATTAACCTTAACAGGAGAGATGCTTTGTTCCAGGTTATAGCACTGTATAGCTGTATAACTTGAAAACTACCACTACATGACATCACAAGGTGGAACACAGAATTCTGACCTTTGGAGATGTAGAAAAACTATTGATAAATGATTACTCAAACATGTGTGAATGAAACAAAACACAGCTCTAGGTACAGTATGTTTTTTGATGAGGAAACAATAACATGACCTAAAGCTCACAAGAGTAGAATTTTCATAATATGGGATCTTTAAAACTGGATGGTTGATGTTGATGAGTTGGATTTTTGCTCTGTTCAGTACCTTCTTTTGTTGTGCCCTTTGGCAAAATTGAATTCATGAACCGTGCAATGCAAAGTGATTTTGACTAGAAAGGCATTAAAAGAAAATCTCAGTTTTTCTATTATTACTGTCATTTTGAGGACCATTCAAAAGAAGTAATATTTAGCTCTATGGCAACGGTTCTCATTTTTCATCACTGTCACCATAATGGATGAATTATTATTAACATGTGAAGAGTCCCCATTAAACAAACTGCATTGTGCTTTTGTGATTCGCAGGTGGTTAAAGAGAGAATACTGGATTTACTGAGCAGAGAGGAAGAGGAGGAGAGCCACGCTGAAGAGGTGGTGAGTGCTCTCTTTGGCTGGTAGAGTTTGGATTAAGCCTTTCTGATCATGCATATCAAAATCTCAGGCGAGGATTTGAGCTGTATCACCAAACCGAAAAGATTAACACACGCTAATGCTTTCCCATCTACAGCTTATTCTGAGAAGTTCAAAAAGTAATGGAAATGCAGATGGAAGCGAATGGATTTTAATGTACGAAATGTGCACCTGCTTGACTTGTACAAGGATTTATCCGGAGCTAAAAGTACTAATTCATATCATTGATCCTGACTGAGATTTGGTTTAAGAGGGCAGGATGAATATGAAATTATATAACCATGCTGTTTTTGCTAATTAAAGATAATCACAGATACGTTTGGTGAGAAGGAGGTTTTAGTCGAGTCAGTTTGATAAGAGTTTTCCAGCCTTCTTGCACGTCTATTATCCAAACTGGAAGATAGTTTGTTTCAGATTTTCACTTTAAAATGCAGGTGAATTTCTTACTTTTATTTTTTAATCCCGAAAAAAAACGTTTACAATCATTTCAAATTTTTTATTTTGAAATGACATGTTCTGAATCTCCTTTGTGTGTTTGAACAATTCTAAATGAAAAATTCATCTCTGTAACATTCAGCGGGTAGTTTCAGTGTAAAAAAGTGTAAAATTCTCACTGAAAACTATTCCAGTAAGTCGCTAGATGGGAATTTGATCTGTAAAATTGAAAATAGAAATGGTTTGTGATAAATTTCATGGGTAAAATAGAGAAAGAAACTTAAACTGTGGATTTCAAAAGCTGCTATCAGATCATTTTCAACACATAATTCCCTTTTATCATTATCATTATTAATAGAGAAGAATGAGTGTCAGTTGTTGCGGAATATTTTTTTAATTGACAAATTTGACATTTTACTAAATTAAATGACATGCAGTTTGTAATAAATTGCATGTCATTTAATTCAATACAGCTCATAATAGTCAGTGAATGGAGCTTGAATTTCTCGTTCACATTTTCACATTTTCAGTCTACGCTTCATCGCTTGCAAAAATGATCTTTCGTGACCTTTCAGGTGTCGTTTTACATTATTAATAGTAAAACTAAACACATACAATTGCAGCATATTCTGAATCTGAACCAGCCCTCTATCTCTCTCTGACTCTATCCATTTACCGTATCATCCATCCATCATCCCAATTATAATGTATTATAGATATTAGGGCCCGACCAATATGGATTTTTTTTGGAGCCGATATGATACCAGTATAACAGGCTTTGGAGGTGCCGATAGCTGATATAATGATATATTTTGTTGATTGAATCTTCAACTGATTAAAAAATTTTGGTTTGAGTCTGTTTAAGATAGATTTACTCTTATTTTGCCTTGTCATATTTAAAGACAGTCGCCTAATGGCATTTTTGCATGACATTCTAGTCAGTAAACAAAGAAAAAACTACCACTATTAGCCTTCAGCAGTAAATGCGTGTGTGCCACGGTAATTAATTATATGAGTAAATGCGGACTATTCACACCTCTATTCACAGGTCATCTACATATCAGTGCAGGTCCAGTAACAAGTACACAGCCACGATAGTCACTTTACTGTATAGTAGTAAGAGAAAGCAGACTGTTTATGTGTGGGAGCTCACAGCAGCTAAAAGCTAACCAATGAGAAATATTTTCAAAACTGACACATTTGCAGCTCTCAGCTCTCACCGCTCATAAGGGGACCTCTCAGATCACAAGTCTTCACAAATAAGTGTCCTTTTAATCCTGACTCAAAACAATCATCCGTAAAAAGAATATAATCTAACATGTTGACAGTCTGTCTATGGGGCAGTCCTCTTTTCTCTGTAATCGCACTTTGATATAAACAAGAATTAGTTTTGTGAAAAATCCCTCAGTCGTCCAGCTGGAATCCAACTGGACAAAAGTTTGTGTGATCGAATACGTTTCGCAGCTCATCCAAGCTGCTTCTTCAGTTCTAAAACGAGCTGTGAAACATATTTGACCAAACAAACTTTTGTCCAGTTGACATTCTGATTTTTCTCCTTTGCCAAGCAGTAGTTTTGTTGCTGGCCTAAACTGCGCTGAAGTTCACTTTTATTTATAGTCAGTATCACAGTAGACACAAGAGCATTTAAATCAAGCGCCTCAGTGCAGCCTCAGAATCCACTGGTGTAGAGCATGTGTATCACGTGACATGACTCTAGAGGTGCGTTCAGGGGCAGTGCGGCGTCACAGGCACAGACATTACTGCTCTGATGAATACTGATGAGGCGCCACATATTAGGTCATTTATCTGTCTGTAAATTGGATTAAATGGACTCAATATAGAGAGTCTACGCTTCATAAGGATGTATAACACGTCGACGTGGACTTGTGGCTCATATCAACTAGATTCAGGCCAATAGCCAATATGTCTCCAAGTGCCAGATAATATAGGCCATCTGATATATCGGTTAGGCCCTAATAGATATACAGTATGAATTCAATCAGGAAAGTTATATTATTGTCCTAGCTACTATCTCATTTCCGTTGTGTCTGTTGCTGTCAGTGATTGGCTTATATTTATGGCTTGTCAAAAAGGAAAACATCAAATGCACTTTTTCATCCTCATTGCAATCCCCTCCTCTGTCCTGATCCTCCCCTCAGCAGCAGAACCAGCAGTCACCTCAGCCTTTCCATCTCCACCTCTTCACCAACATCAGTATCAAGATCCCAGAAGATTTCATATCATTCTCTTCTCCTCACCGATGTCCTTCCATTCAATCAATGCTCACTAAACCATTCATCTAATCTCACTCATTTGTCCATGTAAGTTTCTTCTGGTTCTTCTGCTTATAAATATATATATTCAAATGTATATCAAATGTGCGAGTATTTAAAAGTGTATTGTGTAACTTTTCTGGTGGAGGGTCCGTCAAAAGCTTTTCCCCGTGGAGATGTCAGTGCTTTATCTGAAATGTTTCACAGTACAAGTGGGAACAAACTCTACACAGTGGAAAGTCAGATTTTAGTTTTGCTTTAAATTTTTGGGGGGTAAACACAGTGGTGGATGAAGTACTCAGTTTTGTTACTTTAGTCAAAATACAGATACAAGATTATTCAAGTAAAAGTATCACAAGAAAAAATCTACTAAAACTTTTGATTGTACCTGTTTAAAAATGTACTTTAAGAGTAAAAAGTTAACATATTTTTTAAACAATTAAAGCATCAAATGTTTGATCAAAAATTTAGCTGATTTAAAAAAAAAAAAAAAGCTGTTTTTATGTTTTTGTACATCTGGTTTGCTCAAAGTTGGGACCTTAACTGAAAATAAATGTGCTAAAATAAATAATTAACCATAAAGAAAAGCATATTTTACTTTTCAATCCAGACCTAAAATGTACTTGCTCTAAAATGTAGTGAAATAAATGAAAATGTACAGATACCTAAGATGCATACCTAACTTTTACTTTTGTACTTTGGTTACCTTCCGCCACAGGGTAAATACATGTATAAGAATAGCTGGTGTCCCCGGGGATGATCTGAGAGACAGCAGAAGATTTGTTGGGTCTTGTTCAGTGTTTGTGTTATTTTATTCGTGAGGTTGGAGTACAAACTGATCCTGACTTTTTTCAGTTTCAGCTTTCCTTTAGAATTATTTTTATTTTGAACTGACATATTCTGAATCTAATTTTTATCAACGTGTTTGTCTCATTTGACCTGTATATAGTGATATATAGTGAATTATAAATGAAACAATCAGCTTCACTTATTCAGTTTCAGAAGAAATTCTTTGCAAAAAAAAAATGGCTGCAAGTCGCCAATTTTGAACACTGTATCTGTCAAAACAAAAACAGATAAAAATGGATTGTGACAAATTCCATGGGTCAAAACGTTTCTTTGTGTATTTATTTATTTTATATACACAATAAATTTAAAACGTGGATTTCAAAAGCTGCTATCAAATCATTTTCAACACATAACTTCAATTGAATTCCCTTTTATTATTATCATTAATCGAGCAGATTTAGTGTCACTTGTTGTGGAATCATTTTTATTGACAAAAACTTAATGGAACTACCAATAATATGGTAATGGTCACATTTTTCTATAGCGCTTTTCCACCTTCAAGGCACTCAAAGCGCTTTACAACAAGGAACCACTCATCCATTCATACACCAGTGTTCGCAGACACTGTGGGCAGGGTGGGTTAAGTGTCTTGCCCAAGGACACAATGACAGCATTCATCTGTGGGAGCTGGAATCACATCAGTGGATCTGACCACTCAACCTGTGATGTTTACGTCGAGAGCTGGATTCGAACCACCAACCTTTAGATCAGTGGGCGAATGCTCTACCAACTGAGCTACTGCCGCCCGTAATACTGCCAAACCAGGTCAAGTTACAGGTCAGATCTGCGGAAAGACAACCCCACTCACAGTCTGCTCAAACTGCTTGTTTTCTTGATATTTTGAATAATAAAATCACCTGTAATTGAATAAATGTAAAGTAGAGCTATGACATATCCATAGAAACAAGCCGGTGACGGACCCCCAACCAAAAAGTCCCGCAGTGCACCTTTAAATAACCTTGTCCTTGTATTTTGCAGAGCTCCTGTGACCCTGTGGCCAACCACTCGGAGTCCATCAGTCACACTGTGGCCGTGCCGCTGCAGACCGCGCTGGGCACTCTGGAGGAGATCGCCTGCTGATCCTCCCCTGTCCTGTCCCACCAGAGCGCCCCCTAGCCTACAGGAGGACTACAACACAGAGCACCCTGGGACGGGACAGGGACTTGTGAATAGGACAGCTCTGTCACCCAAAAAAGCCACTAATGGAGACAAAGGAGGCGTCAGCGAACTTGCTAGATAAACTCCAAAAAGCGCACACTATAAAGGACTACGCAGGGGACTCGACTTCCCACAATGCAACATGTTTATATCAAATGGACACGTTCATAAGTCGCTCACTGCCAAATAAACTGTGTGTACGATAGGTTTCAAAGAGCATGTATTGATCTCTCTTCTTTGCTGATGCATACACCAGACTGCAGTGTTGCTTTCTGTGCCATGTGCCGTCGCCCCCTACCTGCAGGACGAGGGAAACGCCCCGCTGTGAAATCCTGCTGTGAATGTATAGAGCCAAGAAGTTTTATGATAGTTCTGATGTGGCAAATACTGATGTCATCTCCAGTTTTTGTATTGTTCAAATTTTTATCATTTTATCTAAGGTTGGACCAGATGTGCTAACACTTAAAAAAAAAAAAAATCCTACTTTTTACACTTATGTATTCTACAGACAGTTTAACACATAATTTGTTTCATTTCAGTGCATAAAGGAAGGTTTATTATTCCTAATTTCTATCTTTCTAAGGTTCCAAAGTACCAAAAAAGGTGCACTGTGATACTTTCCTGGTAGGGGAAAATCTTGTCTCTTTTTCTCTTTGTTTTGAAGATTGCCTGGCCAAATGTTCCACAGTAGGGCTTTAAACATAATCTACCTTGATCTATTCATATATCTTGCATTTATGTATTTATCTTTGTTTTGGGTGCTGATAAAATACATCAAAAAACATCTTACTGTTAGTGGGATCGCCTCTCCAAAGATCTGACCAATAACTTAATAGAAGTTTAAAGCTGTGGAACATTTCAGACAAAACATCTTCATGGAGACAAGCAAGTAGATGAACCTACATCAGAAAGGTTACACAGTGCACCTTAAAGAATATAAGAATATAAAAATATATATTTCTGGTGTTTTGACTGGGAGTTAATGTGATTGGATTGAATTAATTTGAATATTTCTTGACCTTTTCCAAACATCATTAGCATTTACATTGAGTGTACATAAGGATCCAGCTGAGATAATGAGCCTGATTGGCGCAGATGCTTTCATTTTATACAATGTAATGTGCCAAGCAAACCAACACTATTTAAACTTTTTTAAAGCGCAGTTCTGTTTACAGTTTACCAGAAGCACTAAATGGGATTGGAGAAAAAAAAAGAATGACAACTTCTAAAATCACTGTTATTGAAAAAGTTTCTACAAAAGACCATGATGCAGGTTGGTTGTCCTCAAAATCTACTCTGGCATTTCTCTGTAAACATTGTGGCTTTACATGAAAATCCTGTGTGTGATGAAGATCCAGTGAAACTTAAAGGTGCTGTACCTGATTTTGAATGTCTAAAAGCATAAAAGAATGAGAACTTTGGACATCTATTACTTGACACGGGTGCGTTGGAGGAGAGGGAACAGCCCAAGAACATGGAGAAAAATCCCATACACCGTCTTACTTGCAAATTGTGAGATTTATTAGGACAAACCATGCAACGCTTCGGCACTAGGCCATGTTTGCGTGATGAAGGCATAGTGCTGAAACGCTGCACTGTTTGTCCTAATCTTACAATTTGCAAGTAAGACAGTGTGCAGGATTTTTCTCTAATGTCTAAAAACATGAAATACAGATGGTTAAATGGTTTGCAATAGGCGAGTTTCATTGTTGACAAAAGCGCGCGTTGCATGCTGGGAATTATTTTGGTCCGCGGCAATAAACACTAATTCAACATGACGGACGGAGCGAGAAAGCACGTAAAGGGCATTGATCCCGGTTATTTATCCACTCTAACGGCAGAGGACTGAAGACGATTTGACCAGAAATTGGTCATAAGCATCGATGGAGCCAAATCACCCTTTTCAACCCCTACAAAATGTGGACCAAACCAAATTTCTGGTCAGAATCGCCAACTACCTGGACAAATATTCACTTCGGAGATATCCACAGTTACTTGGTGGAAACTCCTGGGCCATTCACAGCAGAAAAGATGAAAGCCTAAAAGAGTCTCGATGTGTTGTTGAACTTGTTGGAGTCCACAGTTTTTCTAGGATCTTCTACGTTTTCTCTGCGAATGTTTGAAAGTCATTTAATTCACCGTTAGCGGTTCTTTTCACTCAGAATATGAAAAAGACATTTTCCTTCTTCTGTGCTTCTATTTGTGCATCCGATAATGCAGCAGGAATTTACCATTATCGGGGAGAAATACGCGAGGTTACGCACTGTGTTTGACCGCTACCGTGTTTCTTGTCTCTGACCAAAATATTTCCCAGCATGCAACGCGGGCTTTTAATAACAATGACGTCAGCTGAAACTCGCCTATAGTCCAAACGTACTTATATTTCCTAACACATGAGTTTGTAAGCACTTTTCACAACTTTCAGAGGCCAAAGCGGCGATGCTTACAACAACTAGCATGCTAACAGCACATTTCTAAAACAGCACTAGTTCATTTTAAACTGTTTGCAGCGGTCCAAAATTATTCCTCAGTTATTTCATACACTCTGAGGATCCTAATTATTCATGTGATGATTTTATGAGCGCTTTTCACAACTTTCAGAGGCCGCAATAATGCTAATAACAACTAGCATGCTAACACCGCACTTCCTAGTTTGCAGAGGCTACAACACTTTGTAATTAAACACAGACAGCAAAGTGGTTTTATTTAACCCAAAGAGCAGCTTATACAAAATATACGTAAGTAAAACAAATTTGACTTTATGGCTTGAAAAAAATCAGGTACAGCGCCTTTAATTTTGTTTCTCTGTCAACACTTTAAATCTGTCATTACGAACACATCACAGGTAGGAAGGAGTCCAAACGTCTGTGAGATTTTGTATTATGATTTCCATCTGTAGCTTCTGTCTGTGTCTCTCTCTCTCTCTCATCCTTCGAAAAGACGCCTCCATGGACAGAGCCGGCGGATCCAAAATGGCCGCCCTATCTTCAGCTTCAGATGTTAGTGCTGGACTGCAGTTTCCTAATCTGTGATGCAGCTTACTTTGTGTGTTTTTAATGTGAGTCAATTAAAAGATAAAGTTGTTTTTGCAGCAGTGGCTCCCTGTTGTGAAAGTGATTTATTTCTATTTTACAAATCAAATCAGCCTTTGCATAATACATGGAGTGAAATACGAGCAAATAAACAACGCCACGCTTATTATCTGTTGGAGAGTAGAGCAAGGTCAAAGGTCAAATGCCCTGCGCCGACTGCCATGTTTGTAGTTTTTTTTGTTTGTTTGTTGTTTGTTTTTAATTAACTCATAATTCTTTTTGACTCTTGCTAAAATATTATGATGCCCAATGATTTTAATTGGATTTCTGATTAATTAACACCAAGCTGATGAGATGAAATTAGTTCTGCAATGAAAACAAACCTGGCCAGGACAAATATTCATGAAATAATATTCAGATGGCATTCAAAAAAAAACCCGTCAGACTTGAAATGACTTGTCTCTCAAATTACATTTATTTTCAAATTATTCTTTTAGTTTTTTGAGGTTGTAAGTTGACGAATAACATTTCTTTAATTATATTGCAAAAAAATCACAACAATCAGTGATAATAATAGGCTTCTTTTATAGCTCAGAACAAGACAATAATACCAACTCAGGAGGTTTTTATTTACTCACAGGTAAGAAATTTCAAAAACTCTTCCGATAAACTTTTATACTTTAAAGTTTTAATATTACGCTATTTTCTGATTTATCTTATAATGTTGTTTTCTCGTCAAAAATACACCTGGAGTTGTGTTTTGTTTCATTCACACACACAAACCCTACATATTTAGGATGTGTGCTTTTCAGAAATGGAAAACACTGTTCCACCTTGTGATGTCATGTGGTAATACGGGAAGTGCTCCTCTGTTTTTAAACTACATACACGTTCACTAGAATCATTTGGATGATTTCAGCTCTGGAATTGCTAATCTCTTCTGAACACAAAGTAAAAAAGGAAGCTATAGCTGTAACTTGAAACCTACATGACAGCTGAGCTTTGGAGATGTAGACAGCAGAAATTGTTGTTTTGCAAGTCTCAAGTAAGTCTCAAGTCTTTGACCTTAAGTCTAAGTCAAGTCCCAAGTGAAATACAGACAAGTCCAAGTCGAGTCCAAGTCGTCTGCTTTGAGCTTCAAGTCAGTTCAAGTAATTAATATAAATTTTAAGGTAAATTGTACTAAAAACTCATGGTATATTTATATATGAGTATTTATATAAAATTTTCCTTTTTAAATGTTTTGACAAGATCTTAGTGTGAATCATTACGGTCAGAATAGAAAGAATTCAGATTAAAAAATACTGTTATTTTGTCATGTCGTCTGAACTGAAATGGAAGGATCATGTTCTATGTAGTTCCCTCTGGTTTACTGTATTTTACTGCATATTACTGTAGTACATTTGAGGATACCACATCACAGTACTTCAGTTACATCCAAAGTAACAAACAGAAGTGGGAGGGACATGTTCCAGTTTGTTTCTGTAAAATTAAGTACAGCATGTATCAACTGTAAAGAGAAAAGTATTTCTTAGTGTCTGTTTGCACCCTGGGTGCTAAAAGTTCAATGGACATGATTCTTCTATTTACACCCATCTCAAGAAAAAAGGGAAGTGTGATGCGTCTGCTTACGTCATTTCCTGTGAAAAAGTGCAGGAAGCTGGATTTGAGAATCCAAAGAAAGAAAATTCAAAAAAATTACAGATTTTCACTGGGCTGGCGCCTTTATGTTTGTACTGACAGGAAATTGTTTTTTGTTTTTTTGGTTTTTTTTTTTTATAAATAAACTTCGCGTAAATAGCATTTTTGTCTAGGAACACCCGGGTGCCTTTCTATGTACCAACGCTAAATACACCGGGTGTAAATAGCAATTTGCCCTATGTGTGAATAACAGTGTTAGTTGTTTACACCCAGGGTGCAAAATAATCTGCCAAAGTATTTTCTAAAAGCATGTTTTTTTTGGGGTTTTTTTTTTAAGGAGAAGCATCAAGTCTTCTCAAGTCACAGGCCGCTGTTACGACCCAGCTCTGCTAGGGACAGGGGGAAGTAACAAAATAACCAAGATTGAAAAATGGTAAAACTAAAGTTGTGATTTACTTAACAGAATTGTAAGGTAAACCAAACAAAACAATGATTCTTACAAGAATTAACAAAAAGAGGCTCTAAACAGAGTGGCTAACAATATAAGGAAAGATAAGCAAACCAAAACGGGGTACACTAAATGAAACAGAAAAACAAAAAAACAGTCTAAGTCACCAGGACTCTAGTATCTCAACAACACAGCACGAGAGACACAAAGATGGCAAGCAAGTCCACAAACAGAACAGCTGCCCAGAGTGGCAGGGGGCGGGTCCT